AAGCTGTGTGAAAACCCTGCATGGTTTGATCCTAGATAAAAGCTTAGACTTCTATGCCTTGTCTTTTCTAGGGTTGTCTCTGGTCTTTCTATGTGAAGTCTCAAGACCCAGCTTTTTCTTAAGGCACAGTTGACAAGATTTGGGAATACTCGCACTTATTCCAATTTGGAACTCAGGGGAAAGTTAAGCAACCCAAGTGAAAACATCATCCAAGTTTTAGCCTATACTTCCACCCAGGCCAACTGGTCAAGTTTTCGGTCATCACAGAACTTAGTGGAGAAGGAGTCTGTGTGAATGGAGATTGAAAGGCACCATAGGGTCAGTATTCAAGTAAGAGCCCAAGTTAATTTTCCAGTGAAGATGCAGCATAGCACTCTATATTTAAAAAAAACAAAAAAAACCAAAAAAAACCCCCACACAACTTGCCTAAAATACTAATGGCTTTACTAAAAATTAGATGCTCTGGCCCCTTCAATCAAGGTGGAAGAATTCACTTTGTATATCTGAATTTTAGAGCACTGATTCTCAACCAGGGTGCTACAGCACCCTGAGTTCCACAGATCCTTTTAAGGGTAATATGCAGTATTAGCACTGTTTGGTCTGCAGACATTTACAGATGGTTCATAAGATTAACCCAGAGATTTCAAAGAGGAATTTGTAGTGTTGAAAACTAAGGATATGAATAGTTAAACATTTAACTGTTCACATATTGATAACCAGTAATACCATACTGGTTACCGTTTAGCATGGGGCAGGGAGCAGTCTGGCGGGGAAGGGTGGGAAAGGAAATGGCGCAGTGTCCTTGAAGGGAAGGAGGGAGGAGCAAGGAGGAGAGGTGGGGCTAGAATGTAGTACAGAGTGTGAGGCGCAAAGGACCTAATCCTTCTTGTGGCAGTGTGGCATTGACCTTTTCCCCACCATCCACCCTGAGGCATGTGTGTACCTGCTGCTAGCAATGAGCTGAGCTGGAGCTCCACAGACCCCGATGCAGCCTCTTGCAGCCTCCCTAAGCAAATCAGGACATTTTCAGGAGGGATATAAATAATAACTAAGTACCTGTTTAAACTCCCCTAATGTTATCAGTTAAATGGTTAACCAGAAACATGCCTCTGTCAGGGAATGGCGCCCACCTGCACTCACTCACCTAGGTGGGACCAGCAGGCTGGGAAAGTCCCTCACCAGCTGCTTCCTGAAGTCAGCCCTAGCCCCCAGGCAGCTGCACACAGCAGTGGGCTGGGAAAGCCCCTCACCTACTACTGCCCCTAGCATACAGCTGCCTAGGGACCAGGGTCAGCTGCAGGTAGCAGTGGCTAGCCCCATCGCAGTCCTTAAAGCCACAGGTGGCAGCAACAAGCTGGGAAAGCCCCTTGCCCATTGCTGCTTCAAATGCGTGGCTACTTGGGGGCTGGGACTACAAGCAGGTGCACCGGGGTCTGCAGAGCCTTGCCCTGGCTCATTGCTTGTAGTGGGTGCATGCGTGTCTTGGGGCAGAGGAGCCATGGTGGGGGGGCAGTCCTTCCTTTGTCAGTGCAGCCCTGGCCCTTTGTATTCATTACTGGCACTTCTGTTTTCTGTATCTGTTGTACTTTGAGGGAATGTGATCCTGTATTAAATAAGTGTTTAAGAATAATTTATATTTGGGTAATCTGGGGCAGGATTTTAGTTTGGACAGGAGGAACAGGGAAGAGAGGTAATTTAGCTACAGCACTTTAAAAATCAGCCAAGTTTAAATCTTTCAAGACTAGTCCTACATAAGGAAAAGTGTCCTTTTAATACGTTAGCTAAAATGTTTACCAACACATGTCAATGTTTGCCTTGTATAGACAAGGCAAATTGTAGTTTTAACATATTAGCTGCTTATGGCTAAAATATACAGCATGTTACCTAATAGTACTATTTTTAGTGGTGAAAATAAAGCTGGAATGTGGGCAAACACTATAGCCTGTCTGCACTTGGTTTCAAATAGGTTTTTGGATTTTCCAACAATATTTTAGAAAATTGTTCTTGCAGCCTTTCATCACTTGACTCCCTGTCCAAGGAAAATAGCTAAACAAGTTTTGAAGATACTGGTAAGGCAGTTGTGCCAGACTTTTTTCAGTGATGTGATTTTCTTTTTTTTCCTCTTTCCCCTTCTCCCCTGTCTTTTTCTCATTTAGCTCACTCAGTTTACCTGGGAATTGTTTTCTGTATTCCTTTTGGTACTGCATGAAGGGTGGCAAGGGAATACTCATCATCTTATAATTAACAGAATACATGCATTCAAGTGCTTTAGGATGCTACCTATGCATTTCAGAGGGAAAATGACAGCAGGCCTTGAGGGCATGGGCAAATGAACAGGATGCTGCAGTGGTAACAAGTGCAACCATTTTATGGTGTGTCAGCTACTCTGCAGTAACAGCTGGTGTGCGGGCACTGATGAAAACTGACCTATGGTAGCTTACCTCTTTCACTGAAGGATAAACTGGTGTGGGGTAAGACTGCACCTGGGAAGGTAATACAGAATAGCTGAAATGCTTAATTCCCTTTCTTGCTTACCTCACATTTAACTTGTTTGTGTGCCCATGACTTGATCCCTGAAACATAGGTCAAGGTAAAAGACTTCCATACGTATGAATTCTTCACCTGGTGCTTTGCTGTTCTCATTTTGAAGTTGTAGGGATGCAAACAGGATTAGGTGGATGACTCTAAAATAAACTTCATTAATGTTTCTATTATTTTGCAGATTGTTTTGATGTGGAATTGGATCTCTCAGCTTGATGCAAATAAAACAAATAAAGGTACGTAAATAAAAAGCTTCTAAAGATGCTTTGCAGCAAATACCGTAATTCATTAATACATACTTTTAAATGACCAGAAATACTGTTTTACAGAAATAGAAATAAAGGAATATTAAAAAATAATTTACTTTGTATATTTTTTCTCTCTTGATTGTAGAAGTGAAAATCTTCTTGTGCTGTTTTGTCCATAAAGTTTGTGTGTGTATAAGACTGTAATAGACTATCTGTTTTACTCCACAAATGAGACTGACCTGAGAGAGTATCTTAAGCTGGTATTGGCTGTGGAGAGCCAAAAATGAAAACTTCCATTTGTTCAATTAAATTCTGTCCCTGCAGATGGTCCATCTGGTTAAGAAAGTCTGAAAATGCAGCTCAGTGCATTTCTAAAGGTTTTTTTTTCCTTGTAGTTAAAATGTAATTCTATTTGTAACTAGTTTTATTGATACATAAAAATGTTGATACCCATCAGAACCATATTTTAACATTCCAGAAAATTAACTGGATAATTGTAGGCTTACTTTGATGCTTTGGCTTTCTTTTCTTTAGGAATGGTTTCATGGGGAATGACACTGACAATGTGAAAACTTTAGCATTAAAGGATTATTCCTCATTAAAATTAATTGTAATATCTGGCCATTCAGCAGGACATATTTTAGAGGAATTTTTCTTTCACTGCAGCATTTGCCAAAAAAATACAATACATATTTTTAAAAATCAAGAAAAAATCTAACGAAATATGATGGTTTCTTTTAATGGTTTGACACTGGAGGCTTTCTAACCACACAAAATTCCCCCTCTCCCCCATTCAGTACCTAAGGTGTGCAAAGCATATATGAGAGACTGGGGAGGTAGCACCCACAAACACCACTCCCCTTAATTGGTGAGATCTCTTTAAGGGGCTTTAATTGTTAATAGACATTGCTTTATACATTTTAGGTGTAAAGGAGTTTAGTCTTCACCATCACTATATTCTTGCTAATCTGATTTAACAGAAGAACTTGAACATAAAATGTTGTGGGGTAGGGAGGGAAATTAAGGGACAAAACGGGTACATTTCCAAGGCAGGAGAGTGGAGTACTAGGAACCTGGACCAAAACTTGCATTAGATCAGTTTTATTTTGTATATGTGTGGTGTTCAGGTCTGTGTGTGTGTTTTGGCATGCTGAATTAAAATGTTACTTCCAAGAACCTCCCCCCACCCCCAACAATGATAAATTATGCATCGAGTGGGAAACAGTGTGGCAGCCTAAAGTATACAAATATAGGTTTTTGTTTGTTTCTTTTAATTAAACCATAGGCCAAACAAGAATAAAGTGTGATGCATACTTTTGAACAAATTAAGATGGCTTGGTGGGAGGGAGGGGAAGAATTTGGTAAGGTGGGGATAAGTGTGACTGCAGAAAGCAAAACAAGTTAAAGTCTGGGTTGCATCAAGGGTATGATTGCTGTATATTTTGATAATTTAGGAAATGTCAATGTGTCAGTACCAAAATTAGCCTTTCAGTCATGAGGAATTTCCTTCCATTTTTTACCTAAATGTCATAGGAATTTTGTGACTCATACAGATTTAAGAATAAAGATGTTTGGAAAATAATGTTCAGTTTCATAACAAAATTAAATTTGATTCCATGTATTTTTAAGCTTCCTGCACTACTACTGTTCCTACATTTTGACCATGGCAGCTTTAGGTAAGGACCTCATTCTCAAGGAATTTTTTGTGCTTTAAAATCTGGTCCTGATGGCATTTTGTATACATAAAAGTTGGTGTTTTGTGTACATAATATTCTTCAGTTATCTAACCAGATGTAGATTATATGCATCTTTTTTTGCTCTCTAGTAGGCTAACACTTACCTTCTGAATTGCAAAAAAAACCCTATGTTGTCTTCATATTTTGGATGGGGTGGGTATGCACGTACAGATACCAGCTTATTTTGCTTTTCTTTGATTTAATATGTAGGCTTACGTTTCTTAAAATGGTTTTGAAAATACATAGAAGTCTTAAAATAGTAGCTTTGTACATCTACCTCTTCTGCTTTATTAAGATTCTGGAAAAGCTGCTTGTCTGGATCTAAAGCTGATTATGAGAGAAACTGCTCTAAGAAATTAAAATGCCAAGTTATCTAGTGGGTAGTTTTGTGTAATACAGGAAGTAGCTTTGTGCTAAATTGTGATAGTCCTACTTTGGGAGGTGACTGATAACTTGTTTATCTTTTAGAAAAAATTCTAATATTTAGTAGTTTGCATGTATTTTCAATGTTGGAGCCAATGACAATTTCAAGTTGCTGCTTGCAAGCTTATAAAATCTGCTCCCTTGAAAAGTGTATCAGAAAACTCTGTAAAGCTGTGCACCCAGTTATTTTATTTTATACCAGAGAGATGAATTTATAAAAGAAGAGTCATGGACAGGGAGAAAATTTGTGTTCATCCAAAACTTAATGACCTTGTTGCCTGCTGTTTTCATGCCTGATATTACAATCTTACATGTTATTTCTTCCTGAAACATAGGGTGCATAAAACACATTGTTTTTAATGTCTTGAATTTGGAGGTAGGTTTTTCTTTTAGATTGAAAATTTTGCTGGATTAGTCCAAGCACAGAGAAAACATAATCTCAATTGGGAAAAAAAAAAAAAGTTTTGAGAATCCTGGCTCCTTTCGAGTTGGATAAAAAATTTGAAGGTGTGAACTTAGTCATTCAATTTTAAAATGCAAAATTGTCTCCTAAATGAAGACTTTTAAAGGTGTGTGATCTTAGTGAAGAAGGGCATCTAGGCTGGTTTCAGACATTAAACAAAACACAACAACAAGCAAACACAAACAAATGTGCTTTAGTGGAAGAAGCAGCACATTAGTTTGACCTGGCTTACAGTGTCTGCATGGATCGGGTGCTTCCGTGGGACTTTTTGGCACTTTTGTCTAATAGCTGATGGAATCAGCTTTAGGTGAAAGTGCCAAGAAAGCCTCGCTAAAGTGCTCGATCTGTACAGGTGTCGGGTGAGCTGGGTCCAAGTAATGCACTCCCTCTTCTGGGCATGCACTGGGCTTGGTGTGGGAGCAAGCAAAGTTTAAAGTAAAGGGCTGCCCTTTTTTAAAGTGTCTGCAAGCAACCTTAGATTCTATTCCTGTTGTGTGTAGGTTTATTTTTCTTTTTGAATTATCTGAATAGTGGTATCGTTTGTGTTCACAATGCTCTAGGTTTGAAGAACGTAGATAAATCTTTTTTTTGAGGACACTTAACTGGATTAATCAGATGTGATGGAGAGATACCTGTAGCACTCCTGAGAGATGGAGTGACCCAATATTTCATCTGCATTAAGAAATTTACATAAGAGACTTCAGGAGCTGACAAAAATATCTGACCTATATGTTTTCCTGCTTCATTTGGGTTATTTTAATTTCTAAGTTATCACTCTGTTGTACCAGTTTCATATGGTTGAAAACCTGCTGGATTGTCTCCAGGTTTATTTTTATTGAGGATAAATCCAAACTCTTTAGTCTTTCTTCTGATTCATTCTTGACAACTGTTATCTGCCTTTTTCTTTATAGTGCTTCTTCAAAACAATACTCATCATATGGTATGGTGACCCTGCACTGCATATATCTTCTTAAGCATCCAGTCAGAAATTTGAGGAGTGGGGGGTGATGTCAAAGTGATGGACTGGCAAAATTCTTAGAGCATCATTTTGAACAAGAATGAGCAAGGCAAGATTGCATTTGTCAAGGCTAGAAATGGTCATAAACTACTACAAGACCGTTTCAGGCTGGGCATAAGGAAGAATTTCTTTACTGTCTGAGCCCCCAAGGTCTGGAGCGGCCTGCCATCGGAGGTGGTTCAAGCACCTACGTTGAACACCTTCAGGAGCAAATTGGATGCTTATCTTGCTGGGATCCTATGACCCCAGCTGACTTCCTGCCCTTTGGGTGGGGGGCTGGACTCAATGATCTTCCAAGGTCCCTTCCAGCCCTAATGTCTATGAAATCTATGAAAATGTTTTTGCTGCACTGGAGATTCAAGGTGATAGGAAACACCACATCCTAGGAATCTAATGGAGAGTTAATCTGTTGAGGTTAGGTGTAACTTGGATGTGAACATCTGGAGAAAGATCTTAATGTTGAAGATGACACCTGGGTGTTGAATCTGAGTGACAGAAGGGAATGTGTTGATGTCTGCAGTAAGACTATGTAGATAGAGTAGGTTTAGGGCAGGGTGGATTAATTTAAAGAAAAATTATTTAAAAAAAACAGTTTTAACTGTGATTCAAATCAGAAACAAGAAAGTTCAATTTAAAATATTGATCTTAATTTTGTTTTGCATTTGTGCATTTTAGTTACTTCTTTAAAGAAAATATTACTTTGTTGTTGATTGGTAAGCATGAAGCTTAAAGTATGGGATAAAAGAGAATGGGTGCACGGGAGATGAAGGGAGAAAGGTTGCTGGTGCAAGTGGCAGGTGTTAGAGAGAAGTTAAATTTGTTTTCTGTAGGAAAAGCAGAGGGTTGAAAGCTGGATTTGGAAGGTCTGGGGAATATGGAAGTCACAAGGTTGGTTTTGGTCCTTCCATGGAAGTAATTGAGATTCCTTGCAGAGGAAGAAGTGAGGGGTTTAACAAGTATTAAGTTATTTGAGATTTACAGGTGCAGTTTTCAAGTAAGCTGGAGGAATAGAATTGTTTTGAAAGATGGGTGACCTAGATATGGTGCTGCCCTGATCACAGGATTTCTGACAGATGCACTCAGTAGTGTGAGTGGGTGTACAGAATTAGATGTCAGGGCTGAACAAGGGCTGGTTGTTGGAACGGTGGATTGTGCAGTGGGGAAGAAGGCCAAAGAGAGAAAGGTATAGTAGTGTGACGCATGGAGAGTCTGTACTGGGGTGTCTAGTTCATCTCTAGGTGTGTGCCCCATGGGGCTCCCCATGGGTCCAGAAATTTGGCGGTAGGATGAGTGGCACCAGTGTTAATTGCTGCAGCTCTGGGAGCTACACCAACTAATACTGCCACCACCTGCCACACTGCAAAACTTCTGGATCTGTGAGGAGGCCTGATCCAGAAATTTTCTACATTAACAGAAGAATGGGTGAAAGGGAGGACTGAGAGCAGGTTTAGAAGCACCAACACTGGCCCAAAAGTCTTAGAACAGCTGAGTGACATGATTGGGCATGAGGGCACTGACTGCAACTTTTTGAAAGAGTAGGTGGTGATCAGAGAGAGAAATTTACAACAGATCACAGAAAGTGCTTGAAGACCAAGTGTGACGAAAGGCGCCAACTTGTGGTTGGTCACCATACTGACTCACCACTTCATCTAGGGCAGTCTGCCCTGTCTTGTTTGCCGTGACTTGTTGGGATCAACCTGATGTAATAAGTGGGAGGCTGCCCATTTTAATGCCATGATTCCAACCGGTTTACATGTTGCTCTGACCTGCACTTACTGTGTCCCATGCCTTGCAGATGACATCATAAGTTGATTATAGCACTGGTTCAGGACTGGGCTAAACTTTGCCCCTTGTTGGTCCTCTAGCAAACCTCCTTGCACACTGCTGCCTCTTACAGGGCCTCATTCATACTGTCCCTCACTGGGCCACTCTCACCCCGCTCTGCTTCGTGACTGTGTTACCTTCAGGCTTGGCTACTCACTCTTTGGCCAGCCCACAGGCACCACTGGGCACCCTGCTCTACACGGCCACCGGCCTTATGCCCCATCCTGGGCTGACTCAGCCGCTGGCTCCTTTCTGAGCCACATATTTCTGCTCCCTTTGCTGGGGCCTCAGGGCCTTACACCCCCTGGGCTCAGGTGCTTCCCTCTAGGCATGCCTGCCCCCACTTGGCCCTCTCACTTGGGCATCGGGGTCTTGCACCCCACGGCTCAGGTGCCTTTCAGTAGGTGTGCCTAGCCTCACTACCTTTGGGGTCTTACACCTCCGTGGACTCAGGTGCCTCTCCCTAGGCATGCATGCCTGGCCCTACTGTCTGCTCTTTAACCCACTAGGTAGTTGGGGGCTGGGGTTATAAGGTGCGCCTACTTGCCTTTCACTGGGGAGGCAACTGGCCTGGCATTTTTGGGGAGGTACCACGCCACAGGCAGCCCTACCAGACTGTCCTTCCTCAGCAGGATGCATTTTTCAGTCATAGCCAGGACCAGGAGCCTCCTGCCATCCCCATAGCTTCTGCCTTTAACTCTAAGGTGTTCCTAAGCAGCTGCTCAGCCAGCTCAGCCCCCTCCTCCAATCCCAGGGCCCTCCTTCAGTCATGTGATTGGCTTATTACTCTGGCTCACACCTGGTGGCTGCCCTGATGTCTGCTTTGGCCCTTAAAGTAACAGGCACCCAAAGGTGCGCTCTGTCACACCAAGTATTTTGGTGAGTGTAACAGTGCACCTAGAGCTCCTTGTCAAATAAAAGAGGTGAGAAAGGAAATGGACAGATAAGAGCTCAGTTGTCTTATCAGTGCGGAAGCTGAAGTCACCAAGAATGAATATGAGATTTCATAGTTTCATAGTTTCTAGGGTTGGAAGGGACCTGAGTAGATCATCTAGTCCAACCCCCTGCCATGGCAGGAAAGATTACTGGGGTCAAATGACCCCAGTAAGGTGTACATCTAGCCTCCTCTTAAAGACCCCCAGGGTAGGAGCCAGCACCACTTCTCTTGGAAGTTGGTTCCAGATCCTAGCCGCCCTGACCATGAAGTAGCAT